CATGGAAAATATTGATTTCTGGATTTTGGGTAAGAGAAGTGGGGGGTGTCCTATACATGGGGGCGTCTTATAGACGGAAAAATACGGTAAGTCCCACAGAAACAGTGATTGATAATTTGCAGACGTCATGCTTATCTAAGCAAATACACACTGCTTTGCTTCAATGTGAACAGTACAAGACACGGAACCAGATTCTGTTACATGTGTTTCAATCCAGGTCACACTGCATAGTGCAAGACACTGAACACAGCAAGCCAGTTGTATTCACTGAGATACAACGCTGCACTCACGTAGAGAGCAACATCCATGTAGCCAGGCCTAACTGTGCGCCAGTGATTTAAAGGGATCAGATGGCACAACGTCACATATTTCTTTTTTTTATGTAGCGAGTAATCAACTGTTACAACATTATAACAAATTCCTTCTCCAAAGTTTAACCTGTACAGTAAGACACTTGCACACATCAATCACAATCCATAAATGCAGAGCTTACATACAGGAGGGTGGTTGAGGCGTGCTCCCTTAAACGTGTACCCGTTTAAGGGACCTTTCCAAAGGGATGCTATCTTAGCGAAGCAGTGCGCAGAAATACCCCAGACCAATTACCGTAGCTGTAAGTGTACTTTCTGTGAACGCCAGGTGGTGTCTGGGAGTGTACCTACAATATCCCTCTTCATCAGGATCCTGTCCCTAACGCTAAACCTATGTTTGCCTCACACGTGGGTACCTATCTGTACCTGCACTTTCCATACTGTGGGCCTCCAAAGTGAACCTGCCTGTCAAAGATGGCCATCCAGATCTCAAGAGAACTCTGTCCGATCAGACACAGACTCTCCCAAGATGACATCTGGAGACCATGGTAAAGGACACCTTGGTCCTATGTCAGGCTTCCCTGGAGTCGGTAGTAAGCAGTAGTGGTCATGTGACTGCTTTGTTTACTACAGAATCAGGAATTAGTTTTAGTGATCCTAAGATCGCTGCCTCGCTCCCTTGCCCTGGTAATCTGACAAAGAGGGACTTTTTTGGGATTTCAAGTTACAGTTCTGCAGGCGAAATATAAACTACATTTATATTATCAGATATTTCGGAGTAATTAATCTGGGGATCATTATTTTTGCACAATAGCCATGCCACCATGTAGTTATACACCTATAGCGAAAAAATAAAAAAAAGCACCAATGAATGCAGTTATGTAATTGGGAAATAATTTCTAAATGCAATTAGAGTAAGTAGCTAAATGTAACCTTGTATCAGGCTTCTTGTAATCACTGCTATAGCATCCCTGAGATGGGGTGAACCATTTCCCCAGCAACTGACAACACCTGGGTGCAGCCAGCCATGATGTCACGGCTGGCTCCGCCCAGTTGTTGTCATTTAATGACATTCGGGTGTCCTCAAATAACCTGACCTCCGCCCTATTGATTATATATTGCTGGCATCTATCAGAATCTTTATTCTGCAGCAGGAGGTCGGCGGGCATCAAATTTGTTTTTACATTTCGACTCGTCGACGACAACGCTGGACCTCGTGATTGACCCTGGATTACGTTGTCGGACCAATTTTTTAGATTTTTATTTTTTGTTAAATAAAGGGCTTGTCAAAATCCTTTTTTGTGTTTTCTTTTTCCAATTCAAAGATTTTTTTTTTAAAGTCTGGTCTTTTTATTTATATTTGTATTTAACCCTTTAGTGAATGGGAAGGGGTGCAAGTGCCCCTTACTCATTCACTTTAATAAAGGGGTACCCCAATGCAAATAAGCTCCCCTGCCTGCAGACCCCCTCAATCAACGCCCCAGGGCTTGTGGGGAAGAGGCCCTTGTCCCAGAGGGGGACCCCACGCTGTTTTTTTTGTTTTTTTCTTCTTTTCTTTACATTTATTTCAATAAATAATACTTTTTTTTCCATTTTGCTTGCTACCTCCGAGGTAGCAAGGAGAAAAGCCGAGCCAAATGCCACTCGGCAGCAGTCGGCAATTCACTCACTGTCATTCGGCCCCTATCAGAATAGGGGCAAACGGCAGCGAGTGAACTGCCCGGAGCTTCGGCTCAGCCGATCCAGATGTTGGATCAGCTGAGTCTAACAGCTTCTGCACTTTGGCTCAGCTGAACATACAGAGCATGTTCGGCTGACCGAAGATAGCCAATGTACGGCTGATTTTAGCGTCTGTACGGCTGATTTTAGCGTCTGTACGGCTGATTTTAGCGTCTGTACGGCTGATTTTAGCGGATGTACTGAGCCGATGTGAATAGTTGAACACCGTTCGGCTCAGTCCACTTCAGCTCGGTTATTTACGCAGCAGAGTAAATAATGCTCTAAGACTTTGAGCAGACATTGGAGACCTCTTTCCACTATTCAGTCATAGGCTGCAGTGGTGCTTTTACTGCATAATAAGATGGTGGTGGTGGGGATGTATACTGAAGTTTCCATTGGCTACGTGTTCTGTGCTCTGTGTCCCTCTTTTGCAGCTCAGACAGTTAGGAAATGTTGTATAGCAAACTAAATGACATTCAGTTGGGGTTAAGTCTACAAAAATTGTAAGTATTTGCTTATATCTTTTCAATAAATGCAAAAATGTACCTGTTGATCCTGCCAGAAATCAAGTGCTTGCCTACATCCTGTGCACTCTGCAGTCATATCTCAAAGGAATTATCAAACCTGCACAGATTAATTATGTGGACTGCAGAAAACGTCTCCCTATGTTAAAGAGATAAGGAAAGGGGAGTGTTCTGTAGTCCTCATACACTTTCTCTCACCAGTTCAAATAAAGAAAAGAATCCTATAATAAAACGAATGCTGCCACCAAATCTATGACTCCTAAGCTGGAATATCTGATGCGCGTTGAACGCTCAGCATAAGCTACTGTCTTCAGCGCAGTGCAATAACTGCGCAAAGTTCAGGAGCCCACAGCAATCAAATAGAAATCATGTCCTGATGATCTAACTACAGTAAATTGAAATAGGCTGGTTGCTGTGGGTTACTGCATTCTATGCCATGTGCAAAGAGCTGTATATACACACTCATTGTGCAGTCTCTGTCCAATCCCTTTAAGTTATACACTGAGTGGCCAGATTATTATGACCACCCCATCAGTACTTCGTTGGGCCGCCTCGTGACTCCACGAGATGTTGATAGGTGATGCGAGGAATCTGACACTGCACTGTTGCCCTTCTGTTGTCTTGTACCAGTCTTGCCACTCTCCGTTCTGCTCTAACATTGACTAGTCGCTGACGGCCACAATTCGCACGTTCAGACCCAGATTTTCGGCTGACAGTCCAGTCTTTAAACACTTTAACAATGAGCTCCTCTTGAACCTTCAACGAATTCTGCTGTTTTGCTGATACTCGCTCCATGGCTCCGAGCGCCAACAATCATCCCACATTCAAAGGCTGTTAAATGGCGTTGTTTACCCATATCTTCAGAAAAAAAAATCACTTCTACTGTCGTGGTAAGCAACCTGCTTCCCTATTTATAATGGTCTGGCCCTCTAGCAACTTCAGCGCGAAATTATAGCTAATTTGCCTACAAACATCAGGTGATCATAATAATCTAGCCACTCAGTGTATATGTAACTACACAATAGGAAATCGAACATTTCCCTGCTGTAGAAGAGGTAGTATACTCCCCTCTTCAGTGGCCTTGGTGATCTGGATTGTAAATTGCAGCACCACACTCCATTTAATAGCCCTGATGCATCTTTATTCTTGTAGGGTTGAGGGGACAGTATAGATATAGCCAATGCATTTTGGGGGCTCATACAAATACCCTCTTCATCAGGGCTTACTAGGGGAAGAACATGAATCAGTACTGTAATGGCTTACTAAGGAGAAACATGTATCAGGACTCACAAGGGTATCCTGCCGTACTCCTTACCGGACAGCACCTAGGAAGATGGGTTCTGAAGTAACCGCTGATGGCGCCGCATGGATCTGTGATGGCTTACTAAGGGAGAACATGTATCAGAACTGTGATGGCTCGTTTTGTAAAGTGTCTAAGAATGCACAGAGATCTTGGCGTTGGCTATTTCTATATTGTCCCATCAACCTTACATTGAATAAAAATGCATCTGGACTATTAAATAGAGTGTGGTGCTTCAATTCACAATCCTGAAGTTTGACACTACATACCAAGGAGACTGCGGGGATCCTTAGGAATGTAGAAGCTGCCTGTCCGGTATTCAGATCACCTAGACTGACTCTTTCATATCCTAATTGGTCAGCCTCACCGATAGGATAAACCTTGTGGGTCCAGCGCTTTCATTCCACTTCTTTCCAGTGTTGCAGCCTCTGTCAGTCTCTCTGGGCTTCATTATGACCCCTATGTCCCTGATGAGTCCTGCAGTGACAATGTGTTTGGAGGAAGGAACCACAGCATGTGGTGTTGGACAAGGCATTCAGCACTTCCAGAAGACACTGACCTAACCTGTGCCACTGGACAAGATGGGAAGTCAGAGACACAGTCCATCAGTGAGGTGCATATACTACCTCTTCCATAGCAGGGGGATGACGATTGATTTCTTTAGAGACCTGATTTTCATGTTGCCAATTTGACTTTGATGCAAAAAAACCTCAAAGCATTTATTAAGCATTTATAAACAACCTGCTTCCCTATTTATAATGGTCTGGCCCCCTAGCAACTTCAGCGCGAAATTATAGCTAATTTGCCTACAAACATCAGGTGGTCATAATAATCTGGCCACTCAGTGTATAGTCCCCAGGTCTACCAAAAATACAGACATCCAGTCAGACCGGTCCTTACCGTCCACAGGAAATCGTACAATTGGATTGTCATGTGTGCGGTCAGCTTCAATATAAACTTTAAAAGAAAAAAAATCTGGTTGACATAGACAGTAATGAGCTATTTATTTAGCCCAGACACTTTCTTCACTTTCCATAAAGTAACCCTTAGCATGGGGTCCATTCCATATTTTACCCAGAGCAGCTAAAAGGTTACCCAGGATACCTTGCAATACCTCCTAATGAGTCAATTTAGTGGAGTCAGACCCACAGCACAGGTAAGAGTGTGCATACAGAAATGTACATATACAGGCAAATTGTTATTTATTTTGTTTACCTGTACACAAACTTGCATTAAGATCCCACCAGGTGTATAGACCTCAGCAAGTTCACCATGCATAGATCTAAAGTGGACTCCTAGCATTCCCTAATTTGTTTCAATCACAGTATGAATTGGTATAAGACGTTTCTGTGTATGGTTTGTAATAGACATATGTTCATAGAGGCTCATATATTTACTCACACTTATGCTCTGCTTTCTGGATACAAGCGCTGAGCGATGAGAGTGCCTTGCTGGTCTCCTTAGTTTGCTGTAAAGTTTCCAGACATGGGGGTTAATTAACTAATGGAGTAACGGCTGTTCACCAGGGACCCATTCACACCAGGGTAATGTGTAATGGTGTGCTATGATGCAATTTATCTTGAATGGCTCCCTAATCACCTGCGTTGTGTTGCACTGACCAAACGTGCTGAAGGTCCGCTGGGTTGTGTTGGTAGCCCATTCACTTGAATTAGCTACCTAATGCAACAGGTGTTAATGCACCGCAGCAGACCACCATGGTGTGGATGGGCCTTTAGCAAAGTGAGCATCACTAAATAAGGTGAAGCTGTGTTCAGTCCAAATACCCAATCAAGTACGAGGGGAAAAAAACAAATCACTTTAGAAGGTGAACATGCTTTTTGCAAAGTGTGATTCCTGTACCCCAGTAAATGGGTCATAGTGTTGGTTAAAAAAAAAAAAATGATCTCTGTACAGTCTCTAGCGATGTAAAATGCCCATGGCAGCCTGCTGCTGTGTTCACGTGTGTTGGAAAAATGAGATTGTTACTTTTATTTTGCACATGAACAGCCTCATAAGTCGAATCTTCAATTTGGGTAATTCGTGCTTGAAGATGCTCACTGAATTAGCCAAGTTGTGATGTCATACAGGCCTTTACCCTCAGTCCCATCTCCAAAATGGCAGCACAAAGCATGGTCAATAGAGAGAAAACTTCCCGCAGAATAGCTGTGAATGGAATGATGTGGGGCCCTCGGACATCCAACAACACTACACTATGTGAATGCAGCAAGAGGCCATGTATTCTTTGCTTAGGCTTTAGGTCACAATAAAATTGAAGCAGCAGTTGTTTTATTTATGGCAGGCAAGGGGCACTAGAAATAATAGATCTGGTAACAATGACGTGCCATATTGATTCATGCATAGTTGCCATATTTAAAATAATTAGAAGGGACACCTTGAAGGATATGAGAAGAAAATGTAGGTGTAGCCAATATAAGTGTGGCTTGTGATGTCATACGTTGCCCCCTATGCTTCTCTATGCTTTCATTAAAATGGGGCCTGGGGGTACAGTGACGATAAACTGAGAGTAAAATAAGTCCAATTGCTGGTGTCAGTGGAATCAAATCAACTCCACATCATTGGTTTTAGTGGGATCAATCCATGTTACACTGATCTGGCTTGAATGACATTTTCTGATTGCTTCTATAGGATTCTGAGACTTGCTTAAACAAAGCTGTTAGAATCCTCCCCATAAATTACTGCATAGCCTGTTAACAAACAACAATATAAAGGAATACAAAATATAAAGGGGATCACTGATGGTGGCTCATAGCAGCTAGTCGAACGTTTAGTTCTAATTACTCCAAAGCCATGATGGAATTTGGTTAAATACAGATATCGACTTTTCTGAACCTGACTGAACAACCAGCCAATATGAGCCATGCCATGTTTTTTTGTTTGTTTTTTAATTCTTCCCACCCCCGCCTCCCTGCATGATGCACAAATCTCCCTGGTGTCCTCTCATTCACTGCTCTTATTCAGCATGTATGGACCCTGCACAGTACCACTTCTCTTGTTGGATATTCTGGCTGTAAATCTCAGTATCTGCTCTTATTTGGTATGTATGTAACCTGCACAGTAGCATTTCTCTTGTTGTGTATGCTGGCTGTAAATCTCAGTATCTGTTCTTATTCTGTATGTATGCACCTTACCAGAGCCCGATCTATTTATTATCTGCAAATATCGAGCTGTGCAGATATATGCCAAAACGAATGTTCTTTAGTTGTTTTGCTTATAAGGCATATAAGGCAATGTAGTTTCGAATGGGTTTTTACGTGTAATATCTCATTCTGGCCAGTAGATGGCGATGATGAACACAGGAAATATGTTCCAAGCTCCTCATCGCCATCTAGTGGTCATAATGTTGTATAACATTTGAGAATACATTGCCTGTTAAAAAAAACAAAACAAGAACGTTTGTTTTGAGATTCTATGACAGGTCAACATCTCCCTAGTCATCAATTCCGATATTAAGCTCCATCCCTTAAACAATTTAGCAGAAGCACTTTCACCTTACTTATTACCCTATAAACTGTCACTACAGGTTGCCATCTCTGCAATATATGAACCTTGTTTGTGCTTAATGGAATATACAGTTTTAAGAACCTCATAAATGAGACCATGATAGCGGAATCCTGTTGTATCCAATGTCATCTTTGCTACTTTCAGATGGAAGGAAAAAGAGAACCATTTAAGACTAAAGACAACAACAGAATTCTATGCAAGAAAGATGAGAAGAAGGTGAGATACCATGTGATGGAAATAGATGTGTAGATTGAATTGTTATGATACAGTAAATGCTGATGGCAGATCCGGTTTGATATCGCTGGGACAGCTTTAGTATATGTGAAATCTTCTATTTGGTTTACTGCAAGGCTCTTCCTGCCAAATGAGAGGTCCAAATAGGAGTTTAAGGGCCCCGCAGCAGAATCTGAGACCTATACCCTGTGTCAGGTTTAGTTATGGCCATTCTGAGCTACAGAACGGTGTGCTGATTAGTGAAGTGAGTGATTAGTGAGCGATGGGGTCTAGATTCCATTTTGTACATGGCTGCAGCATAGGGAAGATACAAACCAAAGTCATGTTTTACATTTAGGTTAGCCTTAAGGGACAATTTACATCTTTGCATTTTTGCTTGGTGCAGTTTCAATTATCAATAGAAACGCATCTCAACACATGTAAGCTTGCCATGATGTGCATTATGATGTGTGTTAACTAGGGATGCACCAATACCGTTTTTTTCGGTAGAGTACGAGTACCTATATTTTTTTTAATCGCCCTAGCCGAATACTGGTGCCGTGTGCCCCGATTATCGAAAGAACACCGGCTTCACTACCCGAGGCTGCCTGGCTTCCTGACCAATCAAGAAACCGTGCAGTGGGTCATGAGGTGCTGCCCAGCTTCCTGGCAACTGTTATAACTTTTTTCCCATTTCCTATCCAATACTAGAAGAAAAAAAAAGATTTTGGCTGGAGTTTCACTAAACAAAGGTAATATAGGACTATATCCAGTGGAACTTAATTAGGAGGGATTGTGTCCCTTTGCTATATACATTTTAGGGATATTTCTAAGTCTAGATCTGAAAAATGATGATACCTCCCGCCATAAATCTGTAAACCTCTTCTGCTTCTCACCAATAGAAAAAGAGTCTTCTATCTTCCACAATATCATCGGTGACTGACAAAGTAGCCACCACGGTCATAAACTCCATCTCACTCACTAAAAAAGGTAAGACAGGTGAGTTCTCAGTGCATTGGAGGGTCATGAGGTTCTATGTCGAATATAGGGAGAGATCTTCTACCTGAACATTATTATCAGGTCAAGTGTGCTTGTTCTGGGTACAGGAGGGATGGGGATGGTGGAGAGACTAGGCAGCAGGGTGGATGTGATAAAGAAGTGAATAAATATAATACAACTAATACAAGTATTTACTCAGGATTCAATGAGGTGCCAGAAAGACAATGAGCATGTACCCTACGCCTTATACCCAGACCTTGATTTGCCATTAAAGAAGAACTCCGTTGCATTTTAAAAATAAACCCTTGCAGCCGCCCACACAAAGCGAGGGTTAAGTGCCCGTTTTTCCTCTAGGGGCTCATATAAAAAAAATATTCTCACCCAATGCTCGATCCTGTCTCCCTGCTAGACCAGTCTCTGCAGCCAGTAAAGGATGAGACATTATGGGTTTCTGTATTTGGTGTAGAGAGATCTCCTAACTGGATATGTTACATTGTAGATAACTGAATATCTTCATCTTTGCATATATCTTCACAGCTGCTCCAGACACTGCAGTCAATCAGACCTCAGTAACAGTCATCTCTTCTGGCCCCTCATTGGTCGATCTATGGAAAGAAGGTGTGACCCAGTCCATGCTGGAGCTAGCCATGGCTGTGGAGCTGGAATATGCTGCGGACATCTTCTCAGATATGATGGTAAGGAATGCACCCAGGGTGGTCAGACACCATCTGACTCTTTCAGTAAGGCAATGGCGGTGTGCTAACTGCACAAACTCACTGGAATCAGATTTCACCTTTTACTGAACATATTAAACTGAGATCTGATAGGTGGCTTCTTATTGCCCACTGGCATTGCACTTGGATCACTTCAATAATGCCAAATGTCTCCTCTACGCCTACTAACAGTGCCATATCTGTACTTCCTAGAAGAACCAGTGCAAGCATGTCTTCCAGGCTGCTGACATTCCAAAGTCAGTCACTTCAGAGATGAGGACTATGCTGGTGGACTGGCTGGTCCAAGTTCATGTAAGTATCCTCCTATCTCTCACTGTTTAGGTACTTTTTATGGTCTAAGTAACCTTTTTATGAGAAAATTATGTTGTTGAAATCCTTTCTTTTTGGAAAAGGCTAGTTGCTTGGCTGTTAGTTATCCACTGGCTTCAGCAAGGTAGTTCAATGGTTGCCTCCATGTTTCTTCCATAACAGGTTTCCATTTGCTTATCAACTTTTTTTGTCAATACAACAAAAATCTTTGATGTGTGAAAATAAACAATGAAAAACATGACTTAATAATTTGGGTAGTGTAGAGAGAGAGAGAGAGAGAGAGAGAGAGTCTCCTGCCAGTTCAACAGGTTACCCTTAAAACAAGCTGGTGGGGGCTGTGGAATCTGACTCCTATACCATTTTTATTTACTAGTCGATTATAAATGCCTCGGTCTTTGATATTGGTATCACCCATTGTGTCTTGACATAGGAATATCTGGGCCTACAAGACGAGACCCTCTACCTTGCAGTCTTTTTAATGAATTCCTACATGAAGGTTCACAAAATCCAAATTTCTCTACTCCAGCTCCTGGCAGCCAGCTGCCTCTTCATTGCCTGCAAGATGGAGGAGACACTTATCCCTAAGGTAGGCTGATGGGTGAGAGGAACATGTGTATGGCCAAAAAGGCTTTATCAAAATGTACTTCGCAAAGAGCAATGTTATGTTTGTAAAAAGAGCAGAGTGGGTGGTAGATGGGGCCCATAGTCTAAGGGGTCCTTAGAACCTCCATATTCATACTTGGCAAGGTTATAAGGCACTGGCGGAACTACCAGGGTCGCAGCGGTCGCAATTGCGACCGGGTCCTGGCGTTCCGCCTGTTGGGTGGGGGGGCCCAGAGAGGAAGCAGAGGGCCCGAAAGCTTCCTCATGCTG